GGGCGGGGAGGGTGAAGGGTCGATCCCTCGTGAGTTTGCTGAAGTGCCCTATGATGCCGCTGAGCTGTCAGCCTTAGCAAGCACGCGCCCCTTCGCCGCCGCGGCCGCGGCCGCCGCCGCCGCCGCTGCGCAGCAGGGAGCCGGGGCGGCGGCGGCGGCGGGGACGGCGGCAGGGGCGGCGGCTGGCAGTGGGGGTTGGCAGCAGCAGCAGCAGCAGCAGCAGCAGCAGCAGCACCAGCAGCAGCAGCAGCACCAGCAGCAGCAGCAGTCGACTGCTCCACCCAGACCGACCCACTTTTCCGCGCATGGAGTTTACCAGGTTTGTCCCTGCACCCGAGTGCGCAACGCCTGAATGTACGTATGCATGTGTGTGCGCACGCGCACGCGCCCAATTTTGTCTGGGACGGTCTGCAGATCCATGCCAACGCGAAACTTGCTACCTGAAGTGGTGCCGCTCAACACCTCCGCCACCATCCCCAATATCCCTCCCTTAAACCCTGATTCTCGGTCAAAATCCCCCTTAAACCCTGATCCTTCACCCCTCGCCCCCCCACCCGCCGTCATCGCGCCCAGGTGCTGTCCGTCGATGACGACCACGTGAACCAGACGGTCATGCAGTCACTGCTGGGCAGCGCGGGTTACGACCTCATCACGGCAGGCTCGGGCCAGGTGGGGACTGAAGAGGGATCCGGCACACGCGACGCTTTTGAATCCCTGTCTCCCATGGATCGTGTGAATCTCGACTGCTGCTGCGCCCAACCTTTGCGCTGACTTGACCGAATCTGTGCGACTGTCTTTCCCAGCCCCTGCGCGCCTGGGCGCCGCGCGGCGGCTTCTCCAATCGCGCCGCCCGCCCGCCCGCGCCACATGTGCTGACACGCGCTACCGCAGGAGGCGCTGTCGCTGCTGGCGGGTGCGCCCGTGTTCCCGGACCTGCTGCTTCTAGACAACATGATGCCCGACATGAGCGGGTGGGGTTTAGGGGTGGGAGATCTACGCCGCAGCGCGACCTCCTCACATGCATGGCTCCCCGCAGACTCTCAGTTGTGCCTGGGGTCAGGGCGCCCGGGCACCCTGCACCTCGCGTCGCAGGCAGTGCCAACACAGCCGCGCCGCCAACACCTTCAACCGCAATGCTCCCCAGCGGTCTCACGAGTGCGTGCGCAGCAAAAAGCAGCTCTCCCAGTCACCCGGATCCCCACTGCTCCCTTGATCGCCCTCCGCCCCCCCTTCCCCAAAAAAGGCTCGACGTGTGCCGCCGCCTGCGGGAGTTGTACCCGGCCCAGAGGCTGCCCATCATCATGGTGTCCGCGCGCGTGGAGGAGGAGGCCGTCGTGTCGGGCCTCGACGTCGGCGCCGGTGAGGCGCGGCGCGGCGTTCCGCGACACACAACTCCAACAACGACATCGGCCCTGCCCTCGCCCCGCGCACCTCTCAGTCTCGGCCTCCATCCGGAGGCCCCCCGTCCCGAGTTTCCTGCCCACCACCGACCAGCAGGCTGCGGCTCTCACAGCCCATCCGCGTCAACCACCCATCCCTAAACCCTAAACCCTAAACCCTGCCAGACGACTACATCACCAAGCCCTTCAAGCGCAACGAGTTCCTGGCGCGCGTCCGCGGCAAGCTGGAGATGGCGCAGCAGGTGGGGGCGGCAGCGCGGGGCGCCGCTCCGATTTAAAGCGCGCCGCTGCTTTGCTGCGGTGCCCGTACCTTTGCTTGTCATCGCAGACGGCAGGTGGAGGGGTGCAGTAACGGGGGCCGCGAGGGATTGAATTTCAGGCTACGGGGCTTGGGACGCGCAGGTCTGGGCAGGTCAAAGTGTCAGAAGTCCTCCATAGAGCTGAGTTGTATGCGCCACAAGCACGCGTGGCCATCGTGTGCGTGGCGTGCTCGAGCACGCTCATGCACGCTCATGCACGCTCGGGCGCGCATGCACGCGGGCATGCGTGCATTCACAGCGTGCGCACGCACGTGCACACACACACACACACACACACGCACACACACACACACACTCTCCACAACACTCTCACACTCCCCCTCCCACCACCCCTAGCAGGACTCCCCACGCACCGCCGCTGCGCCCACTACCCCCGGCGCCGACGCCGGAGTATCCCTGCTCTCTTCCTCCTCAACCGCCGCCCTCGCCGCCGCCGCCGCCGCTGCCGCCGCGTCGCTCCCGCCGGCGCCGAGGGCGCTGGAGCGGTCTATCTCAGCGGACCTTTACGCCGCCGGGCCGGGCAGCGGGGTGGTGATGTCATCGTGCGGGCTGCCGCCCGTCGTGCTGTGTGTGGACGACGACGAGGTTAACCAGCTCGTGCTGCAGGGCATGCTGCACTCCCAGGACTACGGGTGCGCGCGGTTTGACCGGGTTGACTCGGGGTCTGACCGGTGTTTGACTGGGGTTCACAGGGTTTTCTGTCCAGATGCAGGGTGTGCTGAACTCCCACGACTGTGGGTGTGCGCACGGCAGATGTGCGACCAATAATGCGACTGTGCTTTGGCCGGGGTTTGCTGCGTCTTGTTTTCTTGAAGGGTTTGCTGCAAGAGGGTTTGTGGCTCAAAGCTGCAGCCGTGGCCCGCTGGGCCGCCCTGCATGCAGGGTGCAGTTGGGTATTCAATGCGACGTTCTCACCAAGCGTCCTTGGGAAGGAACACTCCTCAAGCGCCTGGATAAATCCCGAATACTACATGCGCATATTACACACACACACACACACACACACACACGCAAACAAACACACAAACACACTCACTGCCCATCACACCCTGCCACAGCTACCTCAAGGCCCGCACCGGCAGCGAGGGCCTCGCCTGCTTCCCAGGCCTCGGCGGCGACACGGGCAGCAGCTTCCCGGGGGCTTCCCGGCCCCCGGACCTGGTGCTGGTCGACTCATCCCTGCCTGACATGAAGGGCCTCAGCTTTGTGAGGCGGCTGAGGGAAACGTACACAAAGCTGCAGCTTCCCATCATCATCCTCACAGCCAGGTGAGGTTTCATGTTTTATGGGTGATGGGACGGAACAGGGTTGGGGTTGCGGGGTGAGGTGGAGGATGCGGGCTTTGGGTGGCGTTTCGTAATGTGATGGCAAGTGTGCAGGCCGTGGGTCAGCGGGGCATACGCAGGCATCTGCGGCTTGCCTTTCTGGGGGACGTGTCTGTTACGGGCAGGCAGAGGGGCGGGGTGTCAAGTGGCCTCGCAGCCAGCTGCGGGCGCAAATCATCTTGCCCTGATCCACAGCTGGTGCAGCCTCATGCTTACTTTGACGGAAGGGAGGGAAAGGGAGAATACGTAGGAGAGGGAGGGAAGCAACAGCTATCCAGTGGGGCGTCTCGAGCGCAGCTGACTCCCATTTGAAGCCGGACAGGCAGACCCACGCTCGCTGGTTTCCGGCTCTGGCGCGTTGGCGGCGACGCGGTACGCCAAGGCACCTTGTGAATCTCTTGCCCTCCTTGCAATTCATGATGCATCCTCACAACAGACACCACGAGAGGGCGATCGTGGAGGGCTTGGAAAACGGCGCCAACGACTACGTAACAAAACCCTTCCGCCGCAGCGAGCTCATGGCCCGCATCCGCATGCACCTGCGCAGCACCAGCCGCGCTACACCCGCGCCGCTCCCACCGCCGCCGCCGCCACTACTGCCGGCCGCCGGCGGCGGGGCCGGCGGGG